CAAATAGCATGGGTTAAAATTTTGTGTTCCCTCCTGTTAATTTTTGTGTTCCCAGTACGTTCTCTCCTGTTGTAACGATTTGAACAATTATTGATTGATAATAAATAGACTAACTAAATTATATTATATTTTCATCTATTTATATTTTATCAATCTGTGTAATCTTTGCAAGAGTATTTTTAAATTAACTTTTAAAAAGTAATCCTTACATGATGATCTAAGCGTTTAAGGGGCAAATGTATCGTTCTTGACCTGTGTGACGGGTCTAGTGATTAAAGTTGGATAATTTTAGATGCACCAATCAGATTTCTTCTAATAGTCACCTGAGATCTTGTATAAAATTACGCGCCAAGAATTATTGCGTTCGACCATCGATGTTACACACAATATTTTTTACAATGACTAAACTATCAAAGTGGCTCAAAGGAAATCTCAAGGATAACGTTAAGGAAACATTTGAAGCGACTATCGAACATCTGCTTAAGTTAAAACCTCCCATAAAAAAAGGCAATAAAAGACAGGCCTTGATGTCTTCATTACAAGCTTTGATGAAAAATGACGAATCCGTACGTGAAGAATACGAATCTCTAAATGCGTGGGTTAACGTTAATAATTCTGAGAAAGAGAAGGAGAAAAATTTAAAGATTGTTGATAAAGAACACCAAGCTATGTTCAAAAAAGCTCGTGTTGTTCAGTACAATATCTCTTATGGAGCAGGTTCCACACAAATGCAAAATTCAAACAATATCACGAGTGAACATGAAGTTTCTACAGACATTAAAGAAGCTCAGGAAATAAATCCACTAAATGGACAGAAAGTAAAAGAAGAGAAGGAGGACAACTTATTATCACGAATTCCGCATAAGTTTTCATTCTCGGCATCCAAACAAGGTTCTTATGTGGAACCAATTTTAGAGCATGTTGAGAAAGCGCTTTTCAGATTTGTTGTAAAGAATCGGGACTACATTCCTTCTGACACAGTAAAAGAATTTGCACTTAAATGCAACCCCCCTGCAAAATATTGATTTTTCGGATGCAGACATATTGTGTCTTTTAAACTTCATTACGAAACATATTTCCTTGTTTATGATTCCGCATTCCGACCAAACGCTGTTTTATGGTGAATATAAATTAAAACCTTTAGATGTTCTTCAATCTTTTAAAATTGAGGCGAGGAACCACCATGTGCATGGTATAACAAAATCCAAAGGAAAATGGAACGATGAAAAATTACAAAGGCTCTCAACCTTAGCATTAGAGTTGGTCGATTGTCTTGGTAAGTTTTAATATAGATATCATTTATACAGTATTTTAAATATTTATGTGTTATTTATTGAAATATAATAGGTGACGAGGATGCATTTGAGTCGTTGTTGGTGATAAAACAGAATCTGAGTTCTGAACTCACGGAACAATATGTTTTACCAATGAAGAGAAGACACGAAAACAATGAGGATGAAATCCAAGAGAGAAAGAGGCACATGACTGATGAAGAACTCGGAGAGTTAATTGATTTCGCTCTAAACATAGTAAACTTGAGCCAGAAAATAAAGAACATTTAAATCAAATTGTGCGACTTGTGGTAGATAAAAACGAAGCATTTGGCAAGCTTTAGTTACCTCAAAAGATGAAAGTGGGAAAATTCAAAAGTTTATTCTTTAATGAATATCCGCTTTAATATGGTAAATATTTCAAACATATATTGAATGCTCGGTATGATATACAACAGTTTAACTGATTGCACATTTTTATGTCTAACAGAATTTAAAGAACAAGATTGGAACAATTTAAGTTTTTTTTCTATATGGTATATTAACGTGGTGGGGATGTTGGCAATATAAATTTCTATATCAGTCTTATGGAATAAGAATGTTTTTGCATCTAAATTTTATAGACATTGACATATTTCTATGTATTTTACATATTAAATTCCGATAGCATTATAAAAACATGATGATTTACTTTTATGCCTTCACAGTATGAATAAAAAAATGCATATGCGTTATAAGATATACATATTAAACATTTGTCTGTGGTTAGATATTAAGTTATACATTATGAATTGACTATAAGTCGATCAATGAAACTCTTAATTTTTTGTATTCTTTTGGGGATAACAATTTCTGGGTTTTCATCATACCATACCTCAAGCAGGAAGATTCCATTATCTTGACACATGCATCTTTTTTGCCGATCACGATTAATGATGTCTTTGAGTTTCTTAACATCCTTATACCAGCTAGTGCTATGAAAACGATGCTGAGCCCCTTGCACTTCCAACACAATTTGATGTTTTTGGAAGGAAGCATCAAGCTCTAATCCATTCAAGAAAGAAGGGTGATATTCGATCATAGGTTCATTAAGAATTTCCTTAGCTATCTGGATGCATCTAGTCTGGAATTTGCGATTTTTCTTAGATTCTCTTTTTGCCTGATCCTGCTCTAGTTTTAAAATTCTAGCCTCAAGCTCAGCAAAGCTCTGTCTCAATGCTTCAAGCCTAACTTTCTCATCAGTTTTCTTAGCTTCAAGCTCAGTGATTAATACTTCAAGTTCAGATGACATGATAAATAATATTTTTATACATGAAAGAATTATTCAATATTATGTGACAAATGTAAAACCATTTTATTAATATATGCAAAAAATAAATACAATTGTTCAGGACATAGCCTGCGATACATGATGAATTTTCTATGCTAAAACCTATTTATCTGACTTTCCGGTAAGATTGCTTGATGACCTATGTTTTTTTATTACACTTTCTTCACTTTGAGAATCAGAATCCGGCTTCTGTGCCTCCTCCAACAACCATGCAATATGACTGAGAACCTTTCCCACCTTAGCTTGCAAATCTTCATCATCATACACAACGGTAACTGGTTTTGATAGCTTAAACAATGGCTTCCCCTCGTTATACAAACATTCCATAAAATACCATTCTTTTGCATCTGTAATAATTCCAAAAGTCTTTCCCGTAAAAACATCTTCTTCCATCTCACTTGCTTTACGCTTACAGTTTGATAAAGCTGATTCAAGTTGCACAGCATTCTGAGCAATACCCTTGTAAAAATCCTCATCCTTTACTTCTGTCACACCAACCATTTTTGTGGTTTGGAGTAAGTCTATTGCAAAATCAACTGGGCCATACCCATTGGGTCCTGTGATATTTTTTTCTGGTCAAAGTTCGAACTTGCCCTCATATAGATTTACCCCAACAACAAGGTAGGTGCAAACATACTGTGATTTTGATGCTTTGTTCCCACTGATTGGAATGGACTTGAGACGAGCCTCCAGCTTGGTTATAAGATTTCGAAGTATTACCCAGGAAGAATCATTTTCCAAGTCTTGTACTCACAAGTGAAAGGCGGGAATACTGACAATGATGGGTCCTCCAATTCACAGAGTTTGTAAAGCTGACACACTTTTGGGAAAGACCAATCCAAGAAAGCTTTTGAGGGCATTTCTATGAACACGGTAAACTTGAGATTGTTCTTTGATACAAATATGCGGAGCATCTCACGAAGGTCTTGATCATTATGAGGGAAGTATTTCTCTCCATCATTCATTAAGTTGAGTTCCACCCCATCATTTTCAAGTGCGGGTGGTTGATACATCTTACGTATATAATCTTTGAGGCCTTTGAGAGTTGCATGCTCGATATTTGCAGTCCATTTATTTGCCTTCCGTTTTGGGTGGATGACGACATTGAAGTCTACAATGCAATGGCAGAGTTAAAACTTCTTTTTCTGAATATCAGTCATATGTGATGTCACAATGAGTGATTTTGTTATAGCGATCAACATAGTACTTTTCTGTACAACAGACTTTAAAACCAAAAATGAACAAAAAAGCATGATCAAACATCCTTCATGTCTCTATGTAAACATATTTTCATAGTTTCGCTCTTTCAATCACAATCTTTTATACTTCATTAGCTTTTTTCGTTCAAGAGAAATAATTATTCGAAAAGGCACATACTTTTTGTCTTCGGAACCACCATCCTTTTCAGGGAGAAGACTCATTGGGATCTTTTTAACATTAACAGGTAGAGTATAATATTAGCTTTTGAAAATATATATTTATTAGGCATTTTATTTTTTTGGGGAAGATATTAAAAGCAAAAAACGATATACATTATTATTTATTAATTTTATTTAAATATTTTAAATTAATTAAATATTTATGATTCTCCGGCATTTTTAGATTTTTTTTTAACGTGGTAATACCAGTAGTCTCTTACTTTTTTGTTAGTCCATGAACCATTTACTTTAACCAATTCTTCATTTATTCTCATACAAACTTCTTTTGGCAAATCTGTG